GACTTACTTAATTTGACAATTCAGTGCACTCTAACAGAATGAATATGACTTATTTGACCAATCCAGTGCACTCTAACAGAATGAATATGACTTACTTAATTTGACCTTTCCAGTGCACTCTAACAGATTAAATGAGACTTACTTAATTTGACCAATTCAGTGCACTCTAACAGAATGAATATGACTTATTTGACCAATCCAGTGCACTTTAACAGAATGAATATGACTTACTTAATTTGACTATTCCAGTGCACTTTTACAGAATAAATGAGACTTACTTAATTTGACCAATCCAGTGCACTCTAACAGAATGAATGATTTACTTAATTTGACCAATCCAGTGCACTCTAACAAAATGAATATGACTTACTTAGTTTGACCAATCCGATGCACTCTTCCAATGGCTTGTACTTCACTGGCAGGATTGATCAGTGGTTCAATGAGAAAGACATGAGTGGCTTCTACAATGTTCAAACCATGACTACCGCAATGAACAGGTAACAATAATGTGTTCACTGTATCATCATACTTGAAATCTGACAAGTTTGACTGAAATATATCATATGCATAGTGTTATAAGCCCATTAACTAAGAAGCATTACACATTATTGTCACAGTTAATACTTTGGCAACAAGATTGATAGGAAACATGCATAATAAATTATATAGCACTATCTCAGTGTATAGCAATATATAAAATATATATTCTTACCTGGAAATGTCTATGTCCTGCATTGACAATATACCGGTATTCCAAATCATTATCTTTTAGTGCCATGGCAACAACATCTAAAACTACCTGCCACTGAAACAACAAATATAGGTATTATGAAATTTTAAACATACATAGCATGTACATTCTAACATTTACACCACAAATGTAATCTTAAATATTACATATTCAAATTACAATTGGCCAAATAAACAGCTGACATGGTCGCCTGATGGGTATACAAGAGACATGTATGTAGAATCATAAACTACCAATAGAGAAATTAAGGTATTTACAAGTACCACCAGAGGAAAGGTTATGCATGCTATGTGATGATCTAGCTGTTGGCAATGAGATGCATGCTTTCTTAGATTGCAGGAACCCAGAGATTGAATCTGCTAGGTGCAAATTTATGAGAGCAATCTCAATGCACAAATAATTTCAAAGTTTGCCTAAGCAGATCATGTTTAAGAAACTGATGAGTTTCATTGCCAGCAGTCTAGGAGTCTATATACATAAAATCTTAGAAATTTATGCTAATTTTATTATTTTGGTTTTTGGCCATAAGTTATGTAATTTCTTACAATGTTATGTAATTATTCTACAAATGTTGTAGTAGGCTATTTAGTTACGAGAGTCACACATATATCATATATTGGAACAAACACATCCGATATAAATTCAAAAAGTCACATTACTTACAGTAGAAAAGACAAGTGATTTGGCACCTTGTTCCTGTTGTTCAATTCTTTTCAATGTCCTCACAATTGCTTCAACTTTAGAAGAATAACTTCCCTGCAGAAATATAACAACAATTAACTGTAATGAACGAAATTGTAAACATATTTAAAATGAGCCATTTTGAATCCGATATAGTAATACAGATTTTACAGTAGTATGTAATTCAAGAAATCACTGTGTGTGTATATACACAGTTTGAAATGGAACAATTTAGAATGAAACACAATCACGTATAGACCTCACTACAGCAAGAAACTTTTGGCGTCAGACTGTTGGTTTAATTGTTTTACAGTAAACATAATTTTAGCACCTGTATGTAATGTTTCTATATATTGTGTAAAGAAATCGCTGAAATCATTTCATCTGTCCATAACATGTGTTGTTGCCTCGGCGATGGGCTACAGATGACTTTGAAACGCAAATCACCCCTAATGTATGCGCATTGAGTATGAACAATATTAGCCGATGCACAACTGAGATCCAGTTCTGGAATTGCAGCAATGCTGGATTTTGATGCCTTTTTAGCAAAAATGGCCACCATTCAGCCATTTTGAATTAGATTGTAATGTGATGGATCGAGGCAGATCAGAAATACAGGTGCAGGAAGACAGATCTACATAACAAAGAGCTCATAATTAAAAATCCATGTTACGTTGGATGCAACCTTTTTGTGTCACTTTTTTTAAGAAACATAGATTAAATCATGGGAAACATAGGTAAGCATAAAAAGTTGTTCTAAAATTATTTCATACTTGACTTTGACTGTGTGATTTATTAATTATTTAAAATACATGGGAATGTGACCAATGTTTTAGAATATTCCATATATGATAGATCTCTGAAATGTTCAAAGAATAGTTAGATAATACTTATAGATGCTATGAAATATAAAAAGTTCATTTTAATTAACATGTGCCAAAAAAAACTATATCCTTAACCTTCAACATCATTCAGCTTTAAATTTCATCTTCAAATTCGGAATGAGTATAAAATGTTTTGCTGTTGACTTATTTACTCTGCATGGGGTTTCACTTTTACATTTTTATTTTTCTGGAAATGTAGTGCTAATTGAGATGGGTACTGCCAGTAACAAA